TAGAGTAACCAGCAAAACATTTCCACACCTCGAAATATTGGTGTGCAGTGTAATACAAATAAAAATAACATTGCCCCGTATTTGTTACGTCCGGCTTTTTGCGAAACGGAATCTGGCAATCCTCTTGGGCTACGATTTATCAAGGTTCGACGTTTGAATTCACTCCAGAACCTGTCCTCCACAACTTAAAATTTGCTGTCATGGTATTCGTATATTTTTTGCAGCCTTCATAAGTGTCTTGATGGTTCAGAACGCTTAGTGATGTGGCAACATGTGAGTTGCTCTGATAACCTAGGTTCAAATTCTAGGCTCAGCTTGGTTGGTTCTGGTTGGTAAAGGAAAACATCTGGGACTATTTACGTTAATTGGTGATATCTAATTAGGATTTAAAGACATCTTCGAGCATGGCCTTTGCTCAGGATATTTTTAAAAAATTTTTATTTTATCATAAATACAGTTTATACAATTTCAAAACTTTCAAATTATTCATTAATTAATTCAACTTTAAAACACAATTCAATATCTCAATATTTCCACACCATGGTACCAACATAATGTACCCTTTAGTTTTACCCAACACTGACGGAGAGAAGACAACAGTTTTGTTTATGAAAAAACAACAACAACAACCTGTTGACGGCAGAGAGAGAGAAATACATAGAGTGGGAGAATAAGAGAGTATCTCAAACTGATGTTGTGTTGTGCGCAGTGTTGCCGAAAGTGGGCATTTATGCCCAAAAATGGGCATAAAAATTTTAAATTTTGGACTTGGGCGGATTTTGGGCATTTTTTCGTTTCCGGCACATTTAATTTTTTTATATATTTTTTTTACCCTACACAAAATCTTGTGAGAAGAGTTTGTAAAACAGCGAAATATTGCTCCAAAACCACCGATATATTTCGACTAGCTGATTCGATTTAGACATGTTTTTCCCCCTGTCTGTCCATTATAATTTGTATGGATTAATCGCCATGTGGATCCGGTTCTATCCAAAGTCGACCCTTATATTTTCAAATGGATCTAAAACTTTATTTTTGTCTGTAATACTGGTCGCTCTAGACATCACAATTATGACCCGAAGAAGACTAAATTTTATACGGAAAAAAATCATGGATGTTTATGTTTGATTCTAATCGCTCTACAGACAATATGTAAGATCTGAACACCATGTAATTTTACCGGAAAGTGGATCTGGGCATCGAAGAACATGGCATTCTATGGTGGACAGGTTTTCTACACGAACATATGAAATAAAATCATTTGGACTTTGAAATCATCTCAACTATCTTGACGTATGCGGTCGGATATACCAAAATGTTCATGTATGGACAAACTTTCACTGTAAAATGTTTATCCAATGTTTGTGTGTAGGGTATTGTGTGGTCAGCCACGTCCGAATGTTCTGCTCCGCTTCCTGGTTTTATTTTAGGCCATTCAGTCGGTTTTGCCGTCATATATATATACCCTCAATCTAGATTTTGAAATTACACTCTATAGCCAAGGTGGAACTTTTTTATTATATTGTGACCGATAATTGCACCAAAATGTATATTATGTATAAGTATTAAGGTCTTTCATGTTTAGACCACACAGTATTTATATAATGTACATGTTTTTATCAAAGAGTTATGCCCTAGAGGCCACATATTCGGATTTAATGCAGATTTGGTGATATATTACGATGTACAATCAAGGCATCAAATCAATCACCCGTGGTTTTCCATCTTCGAACTTGATCTAGGTTTGGTAAAAGTAGGTGGAAAGTTTGAATCAGACATTCCGTTCATCTGGTATTGGATGAAAAAAGTTCGACACTTTGTTGGGAGGTACAAGAAGGTTTTCGATATTCTCCATCTCCGAACTTGATTTAAATTTGGAAGAAATATTATGATGTGCTAAGTTTGGATGAGATCGATTACTTCTTTCGAAAGACATCGTGTGCACCGGATGAGTGGACAGGCAGACGGTCATTTGTAAATGGACTCCAAATTGTCGAATAGAATTCTGTCCAAGGACACATGGCGTCTAAACGAATATTTCGATGAGGGAGTTTTGCCGCAATAAAGTACAAATTAAAAAAAAAGATATTAAAATAAACTATTTAAAAATAAAAATCAATATTGTTATTATGTATGTTGTATTTCCATGCTGCAAAACAGTGCACTTTTCAGCATTTGAAAAAATGTGGAACAAAAAGGACCCCTTGCTTTTAATATTTAACGTCAGTATATACTTTTTGAACTCTTGAATTTTTGGCCATAAATTGTCGATTTTGGGCACTTTTTAGGGGAAATTTTGGGCGGAAATAAAAATTTCAAACGGCAACACTGGTTGTGCGTGGTGTTGTTAATGCAGCAGTGTTTCACAGACCACGTCCACACAACAATGTTGCATGGGCTTGGTGGTTTGATGCACACTGCAACACAACATACCAGAAGTAGCAGCAACAAAAATTAGATCGGTACAATTGGCTGCATGCAACATGTTGCCAATCCATAAGATACTTTCTACAAAACATTTGTTTGTGTTTTGTTTCTGTTGGTTAGGTAAACACTCTCTTGTATGATTTCTTCTCTATCTCTCTCCCACTCGCTCTCACTTTGTATGGTAGAATAAATAATATGCTCTTCTTATCAACTACCAAACCACGGTGTATGGTGTTGAGATACACTTCTTGCATTGCACTTTCATGATCATTGACTGAGTGGACGGACGACCATAATGTTGAATGGATGGATAGATAGATAGATGGATGGCCGACCGACCGACAGGCAGGCAAATAAACAAACAACCACAGCCAACAATGTTCACTGCGTTGTTTGTTGTTATGAACCACTTGTTGAATTTCGGTGTTGTTGTTGTTCTTGTTGTCATAGTTTCACATTTGTGTTTTATTTATTTGAGTGAGTGTGTATTTCTGTTGTTGTTGTTCTTTTCTTCTATTTACACAATTTGCCGGCTGCCCGCGACAGGGATGCCAAATTTTGTTTGAAAAATCAACACGATCGATCGGATCGCTTGTTGCAAAATAAAGTTCCGTTACAAATTTGTTTACACATTTTGTTTTTGAATTTCATTAAAAAATGAAACAATGTAACGATTTGTCATTGGTATTGGTATTGTTTAATAAGGAAATTTAATTTGAATTTGTTTGATAATAAAAAAATCGAATAGAAATATTGTTCTAGTAAAACGTGTATGCATATCAATTGTGTGTGTACGTTGTTGTTGGGTTTTGTTTTTATTAATTGAATTGGGTAAACAATTATTGTTATTATTATAAAATTAAATTGGCAGGTGTGATTATTTAAATAGTTGTAAAAACACATAGGAGGGCCGATATTACATAAAATATAAAAAAAGCCTTGTCATTTTTTGTTAATTGAAAATTAATTCGATTTCAAAATATTTTGAAGAGTAACAATTCGAAATTATTTTTACATGAAGGCCGAGATTACACAAAGTATCATCCTGCTGATAAGTCGGAATTTTTTTTCATTGAAAATATTTTAATCTTTTGTTAAGACGGATATTTTTTAATATGGGGAAACTCTTAAATATTGGAAATTCGAATTGTTGTATTATGGCCGATACTACACAGAATTCGAAGCGGCTCAAGTAAAATTCTAAAGGCTGAAAATCACTTGATATTTAACCAATGTTGAGGGTGTATGACTTACGAAATAATTTGAAATGAATGCAAAGTTTTGAAAATATATCGGCCGTTATTACACAAGCGTAGTGTGACTAATGGCATGATCGCGTCAGGAAGTTATTTCGTTTCCTAAAAAAAGGTCGATATTACACAAACACGACCATTAATTTGTTTAAATGATAACGTCAAGGTACAGCATACTTTGAATTTTAAATTTTTTTGATTATTTACACGGCGGCCGATAATACACAAGAAACTTCTTAGGTTTTGGGGCTACTTGGTTTTAAACGATTTAGGCGCGTAATCGAATCGAAATTTGATGTTATTTGCATTTCGGTTTCTTGAAGAATAAAATACAAATATTCTCGCAAGGGTTCCTCTATCTCTTCTCCGGTCTTATTCGGCATTCGTAGGGTTATTGGAAGATAAAAAAATTTTCGCAGAAAATTTATATGTACACGCAGAGAAAAAATATAGTTGAACATTTTCACCGCAATCACTCAATATTTGCTGCAGTCATACTATTCTTTCCTCAAGCATGTTTTTATTTGTTTCAACCACATCATTATTTCTGCAATAAAAATCTGATCAATATTTTGTCGGAACAATGTTGTTCATTAAAAAATCGTAAGTATGGTTATTTTAATAAACCATACAATTATCAGAGAAACTATTTCATAGTTGCCGATACAAAACATTTTTGCATCAATAAAGTATTTTATGGTTACAAACCATTTACATAGTTGTAAGCAATGATACTGTGGCCGATTTTTGTTTTCCATAATGTAATTATCAAAATCTTACGAGCATTAAACATAACATGATTAGAAGGAATAATAACATTGTCACTTGGTATGTTGCTGTAAACCTTCCACGATTCTTTCTTCAGTTTATATTTGGCAACAATTGAAGTCGGTCGTACTAGTTTATTAATAAACGGGGATTTGTGAAATAAAAGTATTTTTCATAGTGAAAAGTGTTTTCAAATACGTGCCATCCTTCACTTAATGTAATATATATATATATATATTTGTTCATGAAAATGAAAATTATGGAAAATCAAAAAAATATCGCATTTTCATGCAAAATGTCTGATTTTGTATTCTTGACAATGTAAACTTGTGTCTATTCGGTGACAACAATAACTTTTTTAATGCAATCATAGTATGTTTTTTAAAATACACTACATATTCATGTTTTTTCATGCATCTTTGTGTATTCGTTGGTCTGCAATAATATCATTTTTGAAAACAATCACGATATTTTTATTGCAACCATGTAATGGTTATTGTCACGCAATAGTTCTTCATTTTCAAACATACATGCATACAAATGTGTGCATTCCTTGATGAGAGTCCCGTTATGTTTTTTGCTTGCAAAAAAAGAACAGAATTAACTTCAGTTGTTCTGTTCTTTTTGTGTGAGAAGGTTGTGTGTTTAACAAAATCAAAAAATGAAAGGTTTAAAGTTTATTAAAACAATTTTTGGTGATAAAAAGGAGATTATTTGTGTTAGCTTTGACGGAGTTAACAATTACAAATTGTTCTTGGATGAAGGTAAATATAAGAAGATTGATAAAACAAACGCAAAATGTGGAAGCAATCAAAATTGTCTGTTTGTTTACGTTTTTATTTTTGTTGTGTTTTCATTGCAGTTCGAAAAAGCTACAGTTTAGGTGGAGATGTTGATGTAGATGTACTCTCTAAAGGATTTAGCATAAAACCAAGCTTTTTTTCCGATTTTGTTAGTTAATTTATTGGATCTACCGATTTTGTTCTAGATATTAAACTATCAAGTAAGTATTAGTAAAAAAAAACTTTATTTCAAATTATAAAATTCTAATATTTTTTAAATTCTAATTTTCATAGATGCTGACGTTTGTGTATCCAATACGGACTCCGCTTTTGAAGGTGAATCTACAGATTCTGGTAGAATTAGAGAAACGCCATCAACAGAAAGTTTCACAGCTGCTCGCCAAGCAATATCCTGCATTGGAGAAGAACCATTCTTAAATTCCTCACAAGACATAATTGTGCTCACAACTGTTGACAATTTGGATTGTCTTCCATCAAAGCAAGTAAGTCTTTTCTTTAAGTATGGATTTCATTATAAGTACTTTAGTATGTATACATATTAGATTAGTGGAAATAGTGAGTTTCTAAATTTCAACAATATATTATCTTTAGGAAATTAGCGCAATCCCTGACATTCACCAATTCTTAAATGTTAAAACGTTGGAAAATAAGGACCGCATTAAAATTGCAAAGGCCTTAATTGAATTTATTCTAAATAAAAACCCAAGTAGACAGTATGTATAAACGAATACAAGGATTTGACAAAATTCATAACAAATGTAATTTGTTTTAGGCTACTTAGAGAGGATTTTATACAATTATCTAATTCAATTGTTGAAATTTTTGAATCTGAAGTTAAGGAGACGTATTATGTACCATTTCAAAAAGGACATCTAGCGAAGGGAAAGCTTTACGATGCTTACAACAATAAAAGGAGTAAGCTTAGTGCATTGGGAATAATAAAACGAAAAGTCAAATCTCAACCCCTAAAGTCTGGTATGTATGTACAATTTTCCCATAACATAACTATATAATATGTTTTTATTTATTTATTTTTTCTTTTTGTCTTTACCTTAAAGCCACCAATAATTCAAAAAAACCATCCGACGAATTTGAAATTAATGAAAACGAATTAGATATTCTAAAAACCGACGGCTTTGAATGGAGCAAGGTTGTGGAAATCTGGGAGAGATCACATTTCCTCAGACAGGAAGAACTCAAAAATAGTAAAGTACCTACAATTGAATATATAAACAAATACAAAGTTCTCCTCAGTGAAAAAGGATTCGAGTTGGTAAGCGACCTTGCTATACATCATTAAAATTTAAATAATAATTTAATGCTTCACATATGTTTTAATTATTAATTTACATTCCATTAAAGTTTAAAATAGATTACAACATCCTGTTTCCATGTTCGAAAGGTATTTATGAATGGAAATTCTATTATTCCAAATTGATTGCGAAGTCAAGCAAAATAAGAGACATCTGTGTTCAAAAAATATTAACATTAATTAATGGGACTGACGATGAAGGTAACTAGAGATATAACAACGAAATTAAAGTATAACCCAACACACATCTTTCTAACTATTACAGACTCAAAACTTGCGCTTTCCTTAATGATTATACCATATATTTTGCCAAATAGCAGAAAGAAGACTAAGTTGGAAATACAGGAGTCCTTCATTCATTATACTGAGGTAATTAATTTATATTGTATTATACTTCTTCAAAAATAAAAAACTATTATCTTTTAATTTGTAGAATATTCTGCAGGCAGATGACGAATCAAGACACCGACTAAAAAGATTGAAATCTGAAACCCAGCCAAAAATATATTTTGTCGGTGACACCTCAAAAATTATATCCATTGCTTACGTTGACATTTGTGGGATCAGAATCAAACTTCAAAGTCCTTTACAAGCTGTTGAGGTATGCTTCCATTGTTTCATGACGATGAATATTAAATTCCCTGAATACTGCTCACATGTATGGACATTTATCCAAAGAATTATTTTTGATATTAGTACGCCTTGGGATAACATTACTCCATCAATAAGTACGTTGATAAATGACCTGCGCTCGGATACAGAGTTGTAAGATATTATTATCCCATATTTATTTTTAACAAATTATTATACACATACAGGGTGTATTTATATATATATATATATATATAATTTATTATATAATATTTTACATTGGTTTATTATGTTTTGCAATTAATTTAATTACGATAGAATCGTATTTTTAATTTAAAATTATATAACCTAATACATTTTTATACGTATAACCATAATATTTTTTTTATAATGGACAGAATTACATGTTTTGTTTGCACTGAGTCGTTTACTGATGCTAAACACTACATAAGTCATTTAAGAAAACGCCATGGAAATATATCATCATACCCTTGTTGCTTTAGTAAATGCTATCGAAAGTACCATCGCCTAGATTCGTACAAATATCACTTGTATAAACACTTACAACATTTTGAAAGTAATAGGACATCTATTCATTCTAAAACATCAAATACAGCGCCAGCTAGTAATACAAATAATCAAAATGAATTCAGTAGTGACTCATTCCTCAGTGATTTTGAATCCGAAATAGGATCTAATATTAGAATTGATTTGACAAAACAAATAGTAAAGGCATATTGTAATGAAGCAATACCTCGAAATAAGAGTCTTGAGATTATAAAAAGTGTGGCAAACACATTCAGGAAATATCTTATGGTTTTAAAAGATGAGCTAATGAAGTGTAACATTTCATCCGACATTTTAGCCTTTCTTGATCTATTATGTTCCTCCAGCATAATTGAATCAGAATACAAACTCATTAACGAGTTTAGAAGAACTAAGTTCTTTGTGGATGTTAAATTTATTTCATTACATAAAGAATTCCAAGAAGTGTTGGGTTCAGCCGGGAAGACCATTTTGAAAACCATTGACTTCTCAATAGCAATGTTGCCACTACATGAACTGTTTACAATTCTATTTCAACGAACGAATTTTTTGTCAGAAGTTTTGTCTTACATTACATCACTTAAAACTCAAAGCCAATATATTATAAAAAACTTTTTCCAAAGCTTATTGTGGAATGAGCAAGTAAATAATATTAACGAACCTGATACACTGTGTTTGCCTCTTCTTATTTATTTTGACGAATTTGAACCCGATAACGCTTTAGGCTCACATGCTGGTCTGCAAAAACTAGGCGGCGTTTACGTTAAAATACCTTGCATACCCGAATATTTGCAATCCAAACTTTCTCATATTTTTGTTGCAATACTATTATTTGCGGAGGACAGGAAAAAATTCGGTAATGCAAGTGTATTTAAGACGTTTATAGAAGATTTGAACTACCTACAAACAACAGGAATTGAAATAAAAAACGAAGTTTCACTAAACGGAAGGTATATACAAAGGATAAAAATAATTCCTTCATTAATTCTAGGAGACAATCTAGGTCTTAATACAATTCTTGGGTTTTCGGAGAGTTTTTCTAGCAATTTTTATTGCCGTTTGTGTAAACAACATCGCGATGCAAACAAAGTTGATATTAGTGAAAATGTAGATATGTTGAGAAACACTGATAATTACCAAAGAGATCTTGAAATAAACGATTTCAAAGTCACAGGTATTAAAGAAAACTCCGTGTGGAACAATTTAGAAAATTTTCACGTCACGAACAATTGCAGTGTAGATGTCATGCACGACTTATTGGAAGGTGTCTGTCACTACGTCTTAATTTTTATTTTGAAACGTTTCATTGGGGACTACGAATTTTTTACCTTAGAGAAATTAAATTACAGAATGCTAACGTTTAATTATGGGCCAGTTTATGACAGAAATAAACCACCTATCTTAAATTCAGATTTTATGACGAAGACAAAATTGAAGCTTTCAGCTTCAGAGACTTTGACATTTGTTAACTGTCTTAATTTAATGGTTGGTGATTTAGTTCTGGATTGCGAAGAGTGGTCATTATATATAATTCTTAGACAAATTGTAGATATAGCTTGTACAGCTGATTCCATTCAAAAAGGTGTCCCGGAACATTTTCATCAATTAGTTTGCGAGCACAATAGCTTATATATGAAACTAACAAAATCAAACTTGAAACCCAAGTTTCATAATTTGCTTCATTATGCCACCATAATGAAGAAAGTTGGACCTTTGAAGCACATTTCATCAATGAGGTTTGAGTCAGTACATAAGGTATTAAAAAATGCTTGCAACAGTTCCAACAATAGAATAAATATATTGAAGACAGTCTTTCTTAAATATCAGATCAAACTTTTCGATTTTTTAATAAACTATAAAGATATTTCGGACACTAAAGTTGAAACAGGACGTTGTATAGAAGTGCCAAGTGAGGCTTTGGAAAAGTATGGAATTATAGCAAAATTACCACTACGTACTTATTCTTATCTTCAATATGAACACATTTTTTTGAAGCCAGGAATGGTAGTTCATGTTGGCGAATACGAAGATAGTATCCCATTATTTGGTATCATTCACCATATTTGCTTAATTGATGATATGTTTTCATTGTGCATTCAAAGACTCTTAAATCACGGCTTCGATGATCACTACCATGCGTTTCTTATTGATTATGAAGAAGTTTTTCTTTCGGTTAACATAAAGTGCCTTGAATCTCCTTATGTAGGTTATGTTTGTGTATCCAAAGAAAATAAGCTATTTTTGAATTGATTTGTCGTAAAATGTATATATGAATTAAATAAAATAAAAAATTATATTTTAAATTAATAATGCATTTTATTCACAGGTACTTCAATGCATGTAACCATATCATGTTATCCTGTATTATAATATGGTTGTACAGTATGGTTACACTGAACTATACCATGGTTATTTTGTAACCATAGTATGATTGTTATTCTACCATAGTATTATAAACTAGGACCATACTATGATTATTAAGAACAATATTATGTTTATATGGGAACCACAGTATGGTTTCGCATGAACATGGTATGATTAGTTGAAGAACAATAAATGGTTGGAGGCAACCATTACATGGTTAGATGGGAACAACAGTATGTTTGGAAGAGAACAACAATTATTTTTACAGTGACCATTATATTGTTAAAAACTTAAATTTTATTCCAAAAATGTTCTGTATATAATATGGTTGCTTCAACATAGTACTATGATTGCCGCAGCCATATCCCAACCATAACATTATGCTCTTCGAATATAGTTGCTGCAACCATAATCCTTCTCTGCGTGTAAGTCTATGTATGAATAGAGTTCCTATACATAGGTCCGGCATCATTTTCGGTATTTTAAATGGCATTCTCGCATTTTCAACCAAAATTTTAGGTTTCCAACATAAAAACTGCTCGCAGAATTTTTGCAAATTTGGTTTATTTTTATCTCTATTAGGGTTTCGACCGATATTTTCCCCATTTTCGGTATTTCTAAGGTTCTTGCCTCATTTTTCGGTCGAAGTACCTAAAGTTGCTGGAATAATTATTTTTTTTATTTTTAACAGAAATGACTATATTATTTTCCCATCAAAATGGCGGAAATTTAAATCTGAATACAAATAAGATAAACAAAATACATGTTCCGATATATCCTGCTTATAAGAGTTCCTACCTGTTTAAAGTGTTTTGAAGATTCTAGCGTGATTTTGCTAATTTCGTGCAAATCTAAAGAGTTATAGGGACTTTGGTGCACCTTTTACATTAAATATAAATATATATGGG